ACTATTGTCTTGGCCCGAGTGATGTCATTTTTTTGCTCTTTGCGACGAAGAAGATGCAAAACCCAACTTGATTGAATTTTTATTCTCGTGTAGCACGGTATGTGTGTTTTGTAACACGAAAAGCAAAAGCACATTGTGTTCTCAGTTATAAGTTTGTTGCTTCTATAATCAATACTTGCGTTAAAGATACTGGACACAAATAAACGTCACAAGCAAACCGTGTAACGTGTACCCAAGTTCGTTTTGCTGATGTCAAACTTTGGTTGCATATGTACCACGAAAATGAGACTATTTTGCTATAAATATGGAAATAATTTACAAATTCTGATGTAATTATTATTTTACATAATAATAATAACAATTGGTTGACATTATCTTTTTTTTATTTATCTATCTTTGAATATATCTCCGGAATTTTTTGAATATTAAGAATATTAAGAACATTTAACGATAAAAGGTATTATTCATTCATTATATAATAAATAAATTATTTTGTGGGAATATATATATATCGCCATTATTAAGGACAAAACTTCCACATACACATATATATTTATTTTCTCATATAATAAATTCTTGACAATCAAACTTTTTGCATTTATTATATACAGATAACCTGACCATGTTGCTGCACCTCAATGTGGTGGCCAGGGGGCAACAGATATTGATGTTTTTTTATCTTGTTGTCGTAAAAGAGCGTTAGTATTTGGCTAAGCAGCAACGAAGAAATAAGTACTTGAAGAAGAGGAAAAAAGAAGTCAACAACAAAGAAACAACAAAGAAACAACATAAGAAGAAGAAGAAATCAACAAAGAAATCAACAAGAATGACGAACAACGAACAACGAAAAAAGACGACATATTGATATAGTTGCAAGTCTGGTGGTTTGAAAGAATCCCAGGTGTTACAGATATTTTAAATATCTGGTTACATGTAATACCCAATAGATTATCGTGTGTCAATGACAACAGGTATTGTGCACATACCTGGCATGTAAATCTATGGGTTTCCCATGTTTTAAACGAAGAGCAATGTTTATCAATTTATGGTGGTTGGCTCTATATCATGCGGTATCGACACAGTTGCAAGTCTAGTATGATTCAAAGGATTCGAGTCTAAGCGATCAGATATTAAAAACATCTGGACGGGTATTGTGCACGTACTCGACTAGTAAACCTATACTACAGTATAGGTTGCCTATTTTAAATGAGCAATAGTGTTGATGCATGATAAACTAATAACGCATTTTGGTGATGTACAATGATGACAACAATATAATAACTTTAATGAGCATATTGGTATAATTGCAAGTCTGGTGACTGGGCCAAAATCAAGGTTGTATAATCTATAAATTTTCATCAAAACAACACAATGTTTGTATTGACGCAATTTCTAAGGAACCAATGCGGTATTGTAATCTGTAATTTAGGCTCAACTTGCAATGTTTATTCATTATCTTTCCTTTGCTCTACAATATCAAACCAGTCTTGATTGTGGTTTCGGAAGAGAGGTGATGAATTGTTTCTCCCTCGAAAACTTGGACTAAATGGGATTAATGGAAATTATCTTCTAAGTTTGAATTCAAAACTGGAATTTTACTTTTTTGATTTTTAGAACAAGCCAAATTTTGCTGTTTTGGTCATGTATTCCGACTCAGAAGAGTATGTCATGGAAAGGGTCCAGAATTACTGGCTACGCTACAATCGTGTACATGATTTAATTGTTGTCAAAAATGATCCGATTTCTGACGTCGAGTTTCTTTGCACATGATGGTAAAGTTATATTTTGTTATTTATATCATTCTAATTAATTATTTGAACCTTTGACAGTTACAGCATTTTTGTGCCTAGGTGGATTGGCAAACGGAACCATTCTACCTAGAAATGTGGTAATGCAACACAATTTTTTTTCTAAATCTTTAATGTATATAATTGATTCTTAGTTTGAATTTGGCACCCATGATGAAAATTGGAACTGGACGGATATTCAGTAAGGTATGTGTGTCATCAATACTCAATTTGATTGTTAACACCATGATTTGCTTGTTCCCCTTCAAATTCCTCAAAATATTTTTCACGATCCTATTAGATTGGATTTCTTGGGTGTTCGAAATAGATTTTGACATTTAATAAAGGGAGTTGTAGATATGATTTAGTGAATTATATCATTCTTCTCGGATGATAATTTTAGTCGTAATGTTAGTTCGTTTTGTCTCTTGCGAATAAATAAAAAAGTCACTTTACCTTGCTTATGTTATTTTCAATCATTTGAACTATTTAACAAGTGAACAGCTTATTACAGGAATATGCAAATCTTTTATGAATGAAGGCGATTTCCATTTTTCAAATGGATGGACCCAAAAGTTCAAGAAAAGAATCAATTAATCTCTTACAGAATTCGTAGCACAAAACTCCATCAAATCACTTTCATAAGAAAGAATCGATTTACAAGAAATATTTTGATCTTGCAAATGTATCTAATGTGATGAGATAGTACTTTTTTTTCGAATGACACCAAATCAGACACTTTCAAAACGTAGGATGTAAAGGAAAAAACTGGCACATGTGGCATATTTTTAGTTTCGGATTTAGTTTCTGATTTTAAGGACAAGTCTCATATAACAGTTCTTGTTGTAAATTCAACTGGTACTCAAAAAGCTCCAAGTCGAGCTGAGTTCTAATCGAGCTCGAGCCAACTCGAAATTTAATATAAAATCACGATTTTACAGACACTGAAAATAATAAAGTAAGAATATCTTTAATTTTAAAACATTTAAATCATGACAGGTTAAAAATTTTAAAAAGTTAACAATATTTGTGTTTCAAGTAATTGTCTGTTTTTAATATAGTTGTAGTGCAATACTTCTAGATATGGGTGCAGAAAGCCTTTATTATATCGAGTAGACTATTGAAACGTGACATTTTTGATTATTATTATGTTTTGCATTTGTTTTTTGCGAACGCATTTTTATTACTTCCTTATTGATAAACATCATGTGACTTACATAGATTGCCAAATTGAGATTACTCATTTAAAAAAATTTCTCACATTAATATATATATATTTATTTACGTTGTCATTTAAATTTTTAAAAAAATTTTTTTTATTAAAGATGATGTCAGAAAGTGATGGTGAGGGTGGTGGCGATGATCATTGTGACGTAGAAATAATAATT